CCCCAAAACCCCAAAACCCCAAGGGTAACTGATTCTTATTAATTCAAGGATATAAATATTTAATTAATTATTCTAAAAATGCACGCTTCATCATGAGACAGGAGAATTTATTATCTAAAACTTCATTGAATTAAATTAGGTAATTTTCTCATATTTACTCATTATTACTAAGCTTTCTCTAGCCTTTTTATAAACACATTAAACATCACTTCCACATTCTCCATATACTCGTACGTTCCTAAATAAGAGAATTCTTTATCTTCTTACTCTAACTCCTTTGATTTATCACCTGATACATCTTCTTTCTTTACTTTCGATTTGCTCTTTAATTTCTGGATGAATTATTCAACATTTTATAGCATATCGTCCTTCTCATAATTCTGATTTTTAGACTAACCCTGCTTTCTTATATCTTATATGACATTATGCATCATTTCTATCTCTTTTTTCAGAAGAAGAGATTTTTCGGCTTCTTCTGGAGTAAGATTGAATTTCTTTTAAATTATCTGGATTTGATCTTTGTTTTATTTTAATTCTTTTTCTCTTTCAGCTTTAGTTAGCTATTTTTAGGCGCACAAGCCATCTACTATAAAATTAAGCTTATTTTGAGAAACTTTAGTCTTGCTATTATTATATTCCAGAAGTTTAGTCTTAATCTTTGAAAGGGTAGAGTCCTAGTGGAGACTATCAACCTTCAGTTTATTGTCATCATTCAAATAGTGAGCTTTTAGAATTCTTAGCTTACTTTCTCTCTCTTTTATCTTTCTTTGCTCTTTGACTTCTCTTTTCCTTTAATTTTCAGATTCATTGCTGATTCCAGAGTGCCTAGGAAGGAAGCCATTTCTGTAAATTGAAGCATTTTATCGAAGTGAATCATCAGGAGATTTCATTTTTGAAAGCCTTTCTTAAATATGCTCTCTTGATGTTCTTCGAGGAAACAATCCTTCTGATCTAAAGCTATCAGATAATTTATCGATTGAATTATACCTTTTAGCGAAATCTCTGAGGAATACACTACTCTCCTCAAAAAAGAAAGGGCTTTCTTCTTAATTTATTATATGTTCTCGGGTCAATCTTTCTCTATCCCTCTCTGCCTTTTAAATATCTCTAGCTGAGAATTCTTTATCAATTTTTGCCTTCGAAATTTGTTTCCCTTAATCTTTTGAGATGCTCCTTGATGGTTATTTAAAGTCTTAATAATCTAAGAATGGGAACATGCTACTTATTGAGAATCCTGATGCTTTACTATCAGCATTCTATTCTTATTTAACTTCTTGGATTGGTCTGCTACTTGTATCAGTCTTTTGAGTTGAGTTTGGTTTCATTGGCATATCTGATATGATTAAATCTCCATATTCAATTTCCTTTTTTATATCAATTTCAAAATAAGCATTACCACTCCTTTTACCAACAATTTCTACAAATGAAGGTTTTCGAGGCACCAACATATCCTCAAATACTAAATCATCCTGAAATTGATCATTAAACTCAATATTCTCAATTTTAACAAAGTCATCTTTTAATTTATTCTCAGATTCATGTTTCTCATAATTTTCTTGCATGCTTTTAAATAACTCGTAGTCCTCTTTATCCAGACGACTCTCTTAGGCGTATTAATCGCCATGAATTCGAGATTCTTCAGCCTTTTAACCTTTCACAATTTATTCTTTTCCTTCCTCCGCTTTTTATGTTTTCAGGTATTTCTTTCTATTATTAATTTGTGCTGTAACCATTTTATCAATGTCATCCAGCATAATATTGCCATCAGACTGATCGTCATCTTTCTCACAATCCTCCTAGTTTTCTTCCTCTTCTTAGCCATCGCAATTTTCTTCATCTTCTTCCTCTTAATCATCTTAATCTTCACCCTCATCTTCATCATCATAATCATCCTCATCCTATTCATCTTCGTCTTAATCTTCCTCTTCATCTTCTTCATTATACTCATAAATCTCCTTTTCGATAGACTTATTCTCATCATCTACAGACTCTAAGCCATTGTCTCCTTCATTCACAGCAAAGTAATTTTAGATTACTTTTTTCGTTGCTCTTTTACCCTTCCCTAAGTATCTCATTAATATTCACAATTTAATAATGAAGAATTATATTGCTATTTATGATAAAATAACTTCATTATCACAATCTAGAATATTCCCATTTGGGGTTTTGGGGTTTTGGGGTTTTGGGGTTTTGGGGTTTTGGGG